CACTTTCTTCCAGAAAGCCTAGTGCCTTACATTATAAACTGATAAGACAGATAAGATGCAACGAGATATTTTTTTTAAGAAGTGCTATATGCCACTCTATTCTCTAGTCTGTTCAATACTTTTCTCAGGACTATGACCAAACTACCTGATATGAAGCAACCTTAGGTAAGATTTCCTATGGATCATGGTTTGGGGGTTACAACCCATGGTGGCTAGGAAGGCAAGTTGATGGTAGCCCTATGTGTGCAGTCGAGAGAAGAAGAGGAAGAGGAGGAGGAGGAGGAAGAAGAAGAGGAGGAAGAGGAGGAGGAGGAGGAGGAGGAGGAGGAGAANAGGAGGAGGAGAAGGAGAAGGAGAAGGAGAAGGAGAAGGAGAAGGAGAAGAAGAAGAAGAAGAAGAAGAAGAAGAAGAAGAAGAAGAAGAAGAAGAAGAAGAAGAAGAAGAAGAAGAAGAAGAAGAAGAAGAAGAAGAAAAAGCTGGAGCCTCCAGCCTCTTGCTCCTGTGTTTTCCGTTCAGTCTAGAACCCCAGCTGTGCAGTGGGATGGGACTGCTGGCATTGAGAGTGGGTCTTCCTCAGAGTCCCTCCTCAGTGGAGCCTCTCTGGAAACACCCTCATAGACACACCCAAGGGGGGGGTTCCAGATGATTCCAAATCCAGTCATCTTGCAAAGAATTATGAACATCGCTTATAGAAAGTAGTGTGGTTCAGGGAGCTGAATTCTTCAACTGAATCAGATCTCTTGCTTTTCTTGCAAATATTTAGTTTTCCTTCTTCTCGTTCATGATCTTCATGCGACTTTACTACTTTTATCTGAACTGCTTGAGGAATTTGTGGGTCTGCCTTTCTGTTTTGCTTCGCTAGAGTGACAGAGAGGATTTTTAACTTATTCACTCCATGAGCACCTGGAGAGGACTGCTTGTACGCTCAAGGCAGCAACAACCTTGAAGGCCAAGAAACATTTCACACTCCAGGCCTTCCCAACCCTCTATCTTCCTGATCTTGCCCACATCTCCTCTGAGTAATGCATTTTGAAGTCTTTATTTCCCACGTATGCGAGGCAGGCATTGATAAAACTTTGGCTTCCTTGAGTGTGCTTCCTCCTGCTCTGTTGGCACAGTTCCCATGAAGTTGGTTTGCTGACTTAATGGGCCAGGAGCTGATTTATGGGAGCCGCACTCAAAGATGTGAGCAGCTGAGCTAACCATGCCTATGACGTGGTGTCTTCATCATCATTCTCCAGTCACAGCCCACTCTCCTCCGGTCTCATCATCTCTCTGAGGATGAGTGAAGAGCTTGTTGGCATAAGTTGGCTTTGGTCAGAACTCCTGCAGTTGCCCTCTCCCAAGACATTTCAGTTATAGTCCAGACAGGTATCATTGAGTCTTCAATTTATGATCAAGTTTTAAAAACAATGATGAAGGGGCCCATCTGCTACCTCATGGCTCAGGTGAGCAGGTGTGTGGTGGTGAGAAGGGAGGGGTGGCGAAGTGGAATGGTGCTACGGAGAAAAGCAGAACCGAATATGTGGTGCTGAGGACCAGGCTGATGTAAGTGGCCTATGCTGCCATCTGAGCTCATGCTGATACCCAGATCTGTGCTGCTGCAGCGGTGGGGGACGAGTGTCTGGGGTCGAGGTCCTCCAGCAGCTGGGATCTGTGTTGATATCAGTGGCCCAGGTTACTTCTAAAGGCCATGCAGGTGTCCATGGTCTGGGCCGCCTCCTGAAGCCATGTTGGTGTCTGTGGGCCATGCTGCTGGGGGCCATACTGATCTGAATGGCTGGTGCTGCCACCAGAGGTGGCATGGTGATGTCTGGATCTGCTGCTGAGGGCCATGTCTGGATCTGCGGTCCTGCTGCAACCGGGGTCTGTGTTGAAGCTCATGGCCTGTGTTGCCACTGAAGGCCATGTGGATGTCAGCGGCCTGGGCTGTTGCCTGATGCCATGCTGATATCTGTAGACCATGTTGCCCCCGGGCCCATATTGATGTAAATGGCCTATTTGGCCACCTGAGGCCATGTTGATGTCCAGACCCATGCTGCAGCCAAGGGCCATGTGTGGGTCTGAGGTCCTACTGCACCTAGGGGCTGTGTTCGTGGTCTACTCTGTCACTAGAAAACATATGGCAGCCCAGGATCCATGCTCCTGCTGCCTATGAAGAGCAGGAAAGTGACTTTTGCAGTGATATCGATGATTGCGGATGCACAGTTGAGAGAGAGGGATACAGAAGGTTTCTGTGACAGCTCCTATCCCAGAACCCCCCCCCCCCCGCCAAAGGAAAAGTAATGTCCTGGACAGGAAGCCATCGAGAAGAAAACTCAAACAGTGTGATAAAGATGCTGAAGTGGTTGGGTATGGGAGGGGCACAACTCAGTTCTGTTGGTGGGGCAGGCCACTGAGAGCTTGACTATGCTCCAGTGAATATATGCATAATACAGATTGGATTTTTTTTTCAATTTTTCACTTGTGTTTTTTGGGGGGTCGGGAGTACAAGGGCAGACATGAAAGGATTGGAAATGCATATGATCTGAATGCATGATGTGAAATTCCCAAAGAGTCAATAAAAACATACAAAAAACATGATGAAGGCTGGAGAGATGGCTCTGATTTTAAGATCGCTTGTTGCTTTTGCAGAGGACCCAGGTTCAATTACCAGCATCCACATGACACCTCATAACCACTCATAACTCTAGTTCCAGGGTTTCCAATGCCTTCTTTTGACCTCTAAGAACACAAAGTACACATGTAGTGCACAGACATGACTGAGAACAATGTATTCTTTCCCATATAATAAAATATATAGGGCTGGAGAGATGGCTCAGAGGTTAAAAGCACTGCTCTTCCAGAGATCATGAGTTCAATTCCCAGCAATCACATGGTGGCTCATGGCCATCTATAATGAGATCTGGTGCCCTCTTCTGGTGTGCAGACATACATGGAGGCAGAATTTATTCATAATAAATAAATCTTTAAAATTAAAAAAAATAAAATAAATGTTTAGACCACCTGATGTGGGATTCCCTCTATATACTGTGAATATGTTTTACTATCATTGGATAATAAAGAAGCTGTTTGGCCTGTGGCAGGGCAAAATAGAGCTAGGTGAGAAAACTAAACTGAATGCTGGGAGAAAGGAGGCAGAATCGGGGAGATTCCATGTAGCTGCTGAAGGAGAAAGACACGAGCTGCCAAGTGGGAACCTTACCAGTAAGCCACGAGCCTCATGGTAAAATTTAAAATAATAGAAATAAGTTAATTTAATATGTAAGAGGTAGCTATAAATATGATTAAACTATAAGCCATGCAGTATTGTAATTAATACAGTTTCTGTGTGATTATTTTGAGTCTGGGCAGCCAGGGAACAAATAAGCAGTCTCTGCCTACAACAACCCACCTCTGCCAACACATAGGGTAAGGGAATCAATTTCACTAAAAGTGGGCTGATCCTTTGTGTTTCTTATCCTCCCAACAACCCACAACAATGTTAAGTCATTTAACAAGCCTTAATATTTTGTTTTACTAGATTTATGTAACCTAATATAGATATTCTATATATATTATATATCCAGAGAGCACAATGAGAGTAAAATTTATGTCAGACAAGCCTACAAGTTAATATGTAACCTATTACCAAATTATAGCCTGCAACTTTCAGCAAGTGAGCTAAGAGAAATCTGAGTAGCTTTGAGTTTTCTGGGATTTTACAAATATTTCATTTAATATCCATATGTTCACACAAAATGTTTTGATCAAATACATCCCCATTCCCTCCCCTCCAACCTCTTCCCCACTATTTTTTCCTCCCAACCTTGTGTGTTCTTTTTTAGTATTATTTAATGTCCACTGAGTCCATTTAACGTTGCCTTTAAATCTAGTCCAAAGAACTGACACAAAGCACACATTGAAATTCCTGCATTTGAGCTTGCCTGATAGAACAGCCTGTTGTAATAGCTTCTTAGGCATTTGGGATTCTAGCACTGAATGTTAGAATCCAAGAACAATGTTTAAAATTTAAAACCCAGAACAATGAGTGGAGACAGTAGAAAAGGTTGAAAAATCGCTTCATAAGTTTACAGTCTTTCTCTTGTGAGTCTAGACTTCAGATGGACGTGAGGCCTCACCTGCACAGAGCTGTCCCATAGTTTCGGGCCAGGCTGCAGGCCCCACATGTGGCTCTCACACAAGGAACCACAGGTCTTACTCTGCTTCTAGTATCATGGTTTACCAAGCCCCAATCTACACTGTACTTTGAGAGTCGGGATAGTCTTTCCCAGAGAAAAGCACATCAATTGGTTATTCAATACCAATATCCAATACTGGAAAACATACATACACGCATCATTATATAGACTGATTAGGTTGTACTTATGTATTTAGACATATAGGTGCATGTATACATATATTCATAACAACAATTAGTGGGAAAGAAGTTATGAATTTGCAGTAGAGCAAATAGGGGTGTATGGGAAGGTTTGGAGGGAGGAGAGGGAAAGGGAAATGCTAAAATTATGTTCTGATCTCAAAAATAAGAGAAGTAATAAAAATGAAAGCAAAAGACAGCTGTTGGTTACTGAGATTGAATTAGAAAACTTCGTTACTGTCCGTTAAACCCTGGGGCAGTTATTATTTATGTCCATTTACTGTATGATGAAAACTTGTCGAAATTCACGCATCTAAGACAAGGACATTCCTCTCCCCACTCCAAAGTGGGCTGACCACTGCTATGTCTGCCTGGATCTACACTCCTGCTCTGAGTAACTAACACTAGCCACAGACCTTTAAAGCTGGGAAGAAATGACAAAGATCTTGCTCTTGCACAAGCAGGTTCTCTGTGAGTGTTTAATGGATGATACATATAACTATCAAATTGGAATTTGTTTCTCAGGGAGGGGCTCCCAGCTGTTCATCAACAGTCTATATGCTATTATAAAGGGACATCTCACCTTGTCGTTAATGTAATTAACATGTAATTCAGCAGCCTTTGAGGGAAGCAGACTCACCTTCGTGATGTGGGCAACCTTCATGGAGTCAACTGAAGGGTTTGAAAGAAAAGACTGGCATCCACCAAAAAGAAGTATGATTTCCAGACTCTTTCGACTTAAGACTGTAGTATCAGCTCGTTTTCTGGTCTCTGAAATGTTGGCCTGAGACAGGTGAGATGGCTCAGTGAGTAAAGGCACTTGCAGTGCAAGTAGGGCAACTTAAATTCAATCCCAGAACCCATGTGCACATAGAATGAGAGAATCAGCTATACAAAGTTGTCCTCTAACCTTCCTGTAAGTGCTATGACATGTACACACACATAATAATGATAATAATAATAATAATTTTAACATAAATTAATTATATATAAATAAAATTTCGGCTTTCTCTGCAAATTTCAGACAACTCTCACAACCAAAACTAGATATATGTACATAAATTTATATACACAAATATCATGTGTATGCATTTATACTATAGGTTCTATTGATGCTGATCCACATTCTCTGTGCTCGTGTGCACACATGCATCCTATAGTCTCTTTTTCTTGAAAACCCTAATATATCTAGCATAACTCTCCCACTAAGAAGCAACCACTGTTGTTACAGAATGCCATATCCCCTGGGAATCAACAAGTGCTCCAACCGAAGGCCAGAGATTAAATATAAAATTAGTTCATGCCTTTATCATTACCTCCCTATCTCCCACTCCCTGGACTAAAGGGAATGGCAGTGAGATGCTTCACCCTGGTCTGCATCATTCCAAAATCTGATCCAGGCACAGCTGCTTCTGTTCTGCCTCTGGGAATTCCCAGGGGCCCTAACCACAACTCACGATGGAAGCCCTTGGGTATGTCAACAGTCAATCCAGTTGAAAATAACACCTCTCCTCTACGGAGTCATATATGACCCCCAAATAAGAAGTTACCTTTATTATTAAGAGCAAATTTTAGATATAAGGTTCATCCCACAAGAAATATTCTACCACCTTTAATAAATGGTGTGTTGTAACAGCCCCCTCCCTTCTTAAACACATGAATTTCCTTTCCTCCTTTTCCAGGCAGAGCCATATTAGTATCTGAATTGTAGTTCTACAGTTCCAACTCCAGCGGAGTCATCCGTTGATGTTTAAAGGATCTGCTAAACTAGAAGGGGACTTCGTCTAAAAGGGCTCACATCCATCGAAAAGTAATAAAAGCACACTTGGCGGAAAAACCGGATCACTCTTCCACGACGATATCAGAGATTACAGTTTCCAAAGAACAGAATCTATTGTCTAGGAAAATTTGGCAGTAAAACGTAATGACCCTCAATTGCCCTTACACATAAACAGTCATAGCTTAACATGAAGCTTTCATTAAAAGATTATAACAATTTATTATCTCTTCCTTCAATTTATCCTCCAGACAAAACTATAAATCAGAAGACTGTAGAATCTACTGACTAAACAGCATCCATTTCCTGCATGCCCAATGGAATAAAAACAGCACTCCTTAGAGAAATGTAGAAATCTCAGAGATGCCAATGTGTGTAGGATTCAGGGTTACACAGGCCGCTGAATGGGATGGGAACAGTCTGGGGCTGGAAGGACACTGGGTGTCATACGTGGACACTGTGCTAGATTACACAATGAAAGCACCAGACAGTCCAACTTTCCTGCAAATCCTAAGAAATTTTCCTACTTAAAAGATCCCAAGTTTCAAATGTTGACATTTCTTTTGTGAACAGGGATGGGGGGTGCATGCGTGCACACGTGTTTGCATATTTGCATGTGTGTGAGCACATTTGTGAGCTGGTGTGTATTCACCTTTGCACAGACATGGAGAAGCCTGAAGTGGATGTCTCACATCTTGTTCACTCGCTCTCCACCTCGTATACTGAAGCAGGGTCTCTCAGTTGAACTCAGAGTTCACTGACCATCTAGTCTAGCCAGCCAGTTTTGCCCCAGGCATCCACTGCCTCTGCCTGGGAATGACAGGTAGAACCACATCCACTCAGCTTTTACATGGGTTCTAGTAATCTGAACTCTTGTCCTCAAACTCGCCCAGCAAGGGCTTAATTCACTGAGTCATCTCCCCAGCCCAACATTATTGTTTTAAAAAGCACTGGATAAGCCAAAGAAAACTTGTCTATTTCAAAAACTCTACCCAGGCCCTACCAACCACAGTGCAGCAGTCTAACCTCTGGCCACATGTCTCAGCAGCCTCTAAATACACAGATCACTCCACTAGGGGCGGTTCTGCAAATGTAACACGCTGCACCATGCTGTGGTGTCCTCAGTTTCCCTCTGCTAGCCTGGCTTCAGTCACATGCCTGAAAGTCCTACTTTACCCCTTTCTTATCTATGAACATGTAGAAAGTCTCTCTCACCTCTAGCTGGGCTAACCTTAACCATCCTTTGTGCTCCTCAGCTGCGATCTCTAGAGCTCCCGAGTTCACCCGTATATGATATTTTGTTCTTATTTAACTGACACGTGCTAAAAGCCATAAGCTTCCCCAAAGTAGGGGAAGTGCTTTTTCATCCTCCATCACAACTCTCTCTCTCTCTCTCTCTCTCTCTCTCTCTCTCTCTCTCTCTCTCTCTCTCTCTCCTGGAACTCACACTATAGATCAAGCTGCCCTGAAACTCAGAGATCCACCTGCTTCTGCCTCCCAAGTGCTGGGATTAAAGGCACGTGCCACCACTGCCAGATCATAGTCACAACTCTCTATGCAACCCCTGCTCCATAGCATTGTCACCACCACCGTGACATGTGCTTATAGGATCCAAGTGTCTCACACTAGCTCTATCACCCTAGTTTTGCAGATGACGAAGCAATAGCTCAATGTGATGAGCTTCAGTAGCACACAGACAGCATCAGAGACCACAGTTCTAGGCCAGGCTTCTGCATCACACATACTTCCTCCCACATGAACAGTGAATCCAATCCAGTCCAAAGCAAACTCCCTAGTGCCTGGCCGTTCTCCAATATTGTTAGTCCCTTTCTTGCACATCTTTCAGTTGATAATCCAATATAAACCTCAGCGACAGTCTTCGCAGGAGTGATTTCATGACAATAGAGTTCAAAGACTAACCCCAGCTAGCCTTCCTGAATCCACCCTCACCTGACTCAAACTCTGTGGAAACAAGCCCAAGAGGCCTGACCCTCTGCTAACCCCACTAGGCAGTTGCTTTGGAGGCAAACAGCAGCTTAACCAAACATGACCTCTTGTTTGTTCTAGCGCTCTTTGTCATTGCAGTGACATTCAAGTCCGGCTTCTCGTGAGAAATCAAAGAGTGAAGGCTGAAAGTTTGGGGGTTTGGGGATTGGGGGGTTCGTTTGTTTGTTCTGGTTTTTTTTGTCATACATAAAAATGCAACTGCATGCCTTTCTTCCTTTTCAAGCAGGTATTACTTATCTACATGACTAAGGGCTGGTGGAGCTAAAGAGAAACCTGGTGCAGGTCTGGCCTCTGCAGTTTGAAGTTTCGGGGCATGGGCGGTCACTCTCAGAAACCAGAGACTCTGCATTTCCCTTTGCACTACAAGCGCTTATACTTCAGGCGTCTTCTTGTTTTATCTGATTACAAATGTCCAACTAAAGCAGTCCAGTGTTTAGAGAAGGTGAAGACCTGAGAATGTTGAGTCCTCGGTTGACACTCGAGTAATGTAGCCAGGGACAAGGAGGAAGTCAGTCCACACTAGAGCACTGTGTCTGTGCACTGTCTCTCTCTCTGGCTCACGCCTGTGAACTAGCTGGTGACAATCGGACAAACGATTGTGCTAAACGTTTGTGGCAAAGCATAAACGACTCCCATCAATCCCGGGCCATCTTTTATAAGGATGAAACTTGACTTTTGCCATTTTGGTTGCCACTTGCTTCAAAATGAGTTACGTGCCTGTGGTTAAAATTCTACATCTCTTTGTTTTGCCCTTGCAACATAAAAGGTTTCATCTTCTGTTTCTCGATTTACTCCTCTAGTTTTAAAACAAAGTTTCATTCCCTAGTCGTGTTTTATTTCTCCCTCAAAATCTGGTTTTATATTCCTGACTCGGGAGCAATGCTGCCACCTGCTGACCACTGGTATATAGCGCCTTATGACCTTTGGTCAGGCTGGGTAAAGACCCGTGTACGGGAACGTCATCCTACAACTAGCCGACAGAACATTTACCGCTTTAGAGCCAGCCTTTAGGTTTGGCGCTTTTCACACGCTTTCTATCTATCTTCCTCTCTCTTTCACACAGGAAGCCAGTATTAATGAAGTGCTAGACTATGTTGAAAGCCTGAGAGGAGGGGGAAAAAAAAGCACGCTTTACTGCCCCCTGCTGTTCAGGCTCCTTAGCATTTCCCCTTTTTTTTTTTTTTTTTTTTTTGAATGACATGAAGTAATTGCGTGTTTGCAGCTACAGTGTGTGATGTGTCAATGCAGCAGTACAGGGGTAGTGATCACAGCAGTATGACTGGCGTGTCTCCCACGCCGACATTTGTCATTTCTCTGTTGAGGACACTTAAAGTCCTCTCTCGAAGCTGTTCTGAATTATCTGATTCATTACCCTCTTGTGTTGTAGAACATCAGAGGCCATTTCTCCAAACCATCTGCACCGCCTCTACACGATTTCTTTAAACCAAAACCAAAATAATCAAAGGGTCTTTTCATCTTTTCAATCATTCATTTGGTGAATGAATATAAACTATGCTGAGTCTCTGAACCATTCATGATGACTGAGTTTCAAAATTGGGGTCAATGTGGGGGAAAAAAGGAAAAAATTCAAGATAGGATTACATGGAGCTAGGTTTCAAGTGTTCCTAAAGTGACCCATTCAGTGCCTGGAGACAGGAAAAAGGACAGGAAGAAAAAAGATGGGGAGAAGAAAGGAAGGAGGTGGCAGGAAAGAGGAGGAGCGGGGAAGGGTAAGACATCATGTGTCAGCCATGGAGAGGACCGCTTGAGGCTTCTTTTGAAAGGAAGTGCATTAAATGCGTGAAAGTCTTAAAATAAGGACTAGACGGGGGTAATGAGAGCAAGATCTGCCTAATATTTTAATTTAATTATGGCCATTGCTCAGAGTCCAAACTCTTGCATCTGGCCAAGATCTCAGGTAAGGGCTGTGAAAGTCTTCATAGCATCTCCTGTCTCTGTTTTAAATGTGTTGCCTAGAGTCCCAGCTACTACTCAATTTG